TTTTTTACAGCACCTTTTGCGATGTGCCACTGATCGAAAAAATGTTGAACTGTTGGGTGTGATTCTCTGATCCATTTTGCAACACCTCGATGACGGTCAGAAACAAATATTGGTATTGACAAACCAGCAACGGTGATAAAAAAAATCGAAACATGCTTGAGCTCCTGCAAGTTCCATGGCATTGCTACTTCCAGTCTGATTTGCCTATAACAGAATTTTTAAATTGTTTTATCTGATTTCCTTGAAAAAGAACATGGTGATTTAGATTAAAGGAGCTGTGTGTTGCACCGTCTGCTCATCTTTCTATGTGCATACATAAACTTGAAAAATTGCCAATATCCAAGTCGATCGCCAAGAAAGTCTCCAAATATATGCATCAATTCCATACTTACCAACAACGCCGTGACACATGTAGCTTTTCCCGATAGTTTCCGATATATTCCGACGTAAAAAAATTATGCGTAGATGGTGACACCGCTCCTTTAAACTAATGTACAACGTGCTGACTTTGTTATACTTTGTCTAATGTATGCCATCTGGAGTATATATGGGTTTATTTGAAGTAATTAGCCTTTCCCACAGGGCCCGTTTAATACCAACCATTTTGGGGGCACTGTCTACTCTCAGACTTGGGAGAGGTGGTACCCCCAAAATGGCTGGAAAACAGTGTGTGAGAAAAGGTAATTTATTGGCAGATACATACTAAAATTTCCATAATTTATGAAACTAAATTCAAGGTCAGATTAGCCAGAATCTGCTGCCTATTGAAATTTGAATGTATAGTAAGTCATTTCAAGAATGTCATGGTTGCTGTAATAGTGTAATCTTTATCTAAAAGTTCCTAACCTGCAACAAATCAAAATGAACAATTTTAAGGATGGTTGTGCAGAACATGGTGTATGTATTTAGCAGAGTGGCCCATGGAGTCAAATCTACCATCACTACACCAAACTGTTTCACCAACATTCTTCAGAGAATCAATCAAGGAGTCTCGATATGACTCCCAATACATCAGGATCGTAGGAATAAGAAATCTGCTTTGATGGTAAAAAAATGATCTTGGAGTATATGCAGCCAATCCCATATGCTTGAATACAAGAAGAACCTTGCTTATTGATGCACCAGCCATTAGTACTGCAAAACTCAGTAATATATTTCCAACTGGATACCTTCCAAACACAAATGGTTGACTTCTCCAGGTAAACGACTTTGCTTGGCAAGCATCACAATACTGTGTTACAGTAACCATAGTTCCATTTCTTAGCATTTTTACTGTTGGTTTGTCCTTCTTACATCGAAAGCAGAACAAAGAAAACAACGATAATAGTGTACTATAGAACACTATGAACTTTGGTTCGTCTTGGCATTTGACATTAGGTGGTACACTGCAAAAAGAAAAATTTTCATTTAATTCAGTCAGTGGTACACAAAAGATGATATTATAGTAAGTAGCCAATTGTCAAATCTGGTTATTTCTAACTTTTATTTTTGTTTGAGAAATGTAACGGGTGTTAAAAAATGGCCTATCAAATACCCATTTAGTTCACTTGTGAATTTTTTTTATTCTGATTAAAAGAACGCACATATATGTACAATAGAATTGTTTTATTTATAAAACTTTTGCTTTTTAACAGACTTATATAAAACAGTTTTATTGTTCATACATGCGTTAATAATTCACAGGTGTCCTAAATGAGTATTTGATAGGCCGTTTTATACTAATTATTGGCATTTCCAAAAATGGCAGTTCAACTTTAAAACATCCATAACGCAGTCAATATTGCACGGAAAATTAAATGTTATGTATCAAAATCTAAGTTGGCCCTTTCCGAATTCAATGAAATTTCAAGTGCGATAGCGTTTATAGTTTTCATGTTACAATAAATCAAACAGTGTACAGTTTTTCTTGGAACACCCGGTAGTTATCACACACTGCTTCAACACCAATGAAATAGGGTGTTTGTAAGTGGTGCAGGTTATCTCAAGCACATTTTTGTTGTTGCTTGTCGCAGGTTGACATAAGTTGTCAATGTATACAATGTTTTGTCACTTAGATAATTAAAAATGCTTTATGTAAAAACCATGTTGTATTTTCTGGCCTGAGAATTTTTTGAAAGGCATAATAAATATGTAATGTCTATCATACCTAATAGTATTTTGTGTTGCCCTATTCAGTTCTTCATCGTTGCCATAATCATTCTCTTCAGCTTCTTCTTCCATCGCTTTCCATGGAACCTCGGAATCACTTTCTTCATCCGATTCGGTCTGACTTTCATCAGGAGGCTCATCGTAACTTTCTTGCACCAATATGTCTTGACTCTCATTTTCTTCAGGCTGTTCAGGAATGTCTTCCATCTGATTTTCTTGTTGCTATTGAAAGGAAATTAAATTTTAAAATGATTTTTAGACCAGGACCAGTAGCAAAAATTTAACTATATAGGCCCTCTGGAAGGAATTGAACCTGTGGAAGGAATTGAACCTGTGCCAGGAATTGATCCAATAAATGGGTATTGTATGCCAGATGTTTTGCCTAATATAAATATATAATTATATTGAATTCACTGCCTGGTTTGTGTTTTCTGTTGTAACGCGAGACACAAATATAGTTATACTGATTACTATATATTTTATTTATGAATTGTAGAATAATTCATTATAAAGTAGAAAACAAACCTGGTTGGTCTGTTGTGTTATAGTTTGTTTCTGGTCACAGAGCTGTTTTCTCAGTCTCTTGTTTCTCGCTTTACACTTCCTCAAATTGTCTTTGTACCGACGAATCTCCTCAGCAAACAATTCTCATTTTTCACAATCAGTGGAAGGAGAAACAGGCGAAGTCACAAAGTCAGGAAAGTTAGATGCAACATCTGTCTTTGCCTTCGGTGTACTGCATGTAAATTCGGTTACAGCGTCTTGGAATACTTCGATCACTTCGTTGTTGACATCGGCTTCTTGTGCGGTATGCAAATCACTGAAATCGGTCGTGCTTGAATGACCTCCTATATCACGCAAAATCTACAAAACATAAACGATTATATCAATAAAAATCAATATAATATAAATGTATAGAAATATACTTTGCGAGATAAATACAACACATTCAATTTTTGTCAACAAACTACATATTTATACACAATCATACCTTTCTATGCTCACGATCAGAAATATTATGCACTTCTCGCTCAGGCTGAACAGTATCAATCGTAGGATAGGCTATCTTTCTGTCCAACATTTTCTTTGTTTGAAAGGAGTTGTCTGTGTCTAACTGGTTAACAGTGATGTCTGGACGCTGGAGGTAGAAATGCACCTCAAAATGAGCCGAGCATAATGTTGAATATGGCGATGGCTGCCAGTTAGGTCGATGTCGTTGGACAAACTTTATCCACAAATTTCGCAGAGTTCCTTCAGTCTTAGGGAATCCATGCATGGATATTCCTTGGACGGTGGAGTTATTCTTACAACTGATATTACCAGGACCACCAGCAACGCAATATTTCCCCAACTGTTTCTTACTTTTTGTACCGCAAGGTCCTTCACGCTTGTCTATAGCTGCCATGTTTGCTAGAACGACTCTAACCAGTGACGTCACACATGAAATGTGACCGCGCGTCTAACACGGACGTATAATTGTCAAAAAATGCCACTTTCAGAGTCAAAATAAGGCACTTTCTATATCGCTACGTCAAAAACGGATTAGCTCACGATATTCAGCGTAAAAAACTCTATCAGAATATCCCAAAAAAAGGGACCAGAAAATTTCGTTTCATAAACACTTTAACTACACCAGAGTTAATAAATCATAAGCTTAATGTTCTTAATCGTTCCAAAGCACCTGGCCCAGATGGGATTCCAAATTGGATCCTGAAAGAATTTGCAGAAGCTTTATCATGATCCTATCTCCATCATTATCAACTCTTCCTACTTGGAACAAAAATTGCCAAACGCTTGGAAACAAGCTAACATTATACCCATCCCGAAAAATAAACCAATCCGTGATATAAACAAGAATCTTCGACCTATTTCATTAACTCCAGCCTTATCTAAGTTGGCCGAAGACATAGTTATTGAAAAATACGTCTCTCATGCAGTTTTGGAGGTGGTCAATCAGGATCAATTTGGGGGTATTCCAAAATCATCAGCAACTTTCGCCCTCATCAGTATTATTCATACATGTGCTCAAGCGACCGACGGAACTGGCGCTTCTGTTCGCCTTCTCTTGTTTGATTACCGCAAAGCCTTTGACTTGATTGATCACAACTCCTGGTTCACAAAATCCGGAAGCTCTCAATTCCTCTACCTATTATTAATTGGATTATCGACTTTCTTACATCTAGGGAACAACGAGTTAAACTCGCCAGGGATTGTTTCTCCGAATGGGGAAATGTTCCTTCCGGAGTTCCTCAAGGGACAAAACTAGGCCCATGGCTCTTTATACTTATGATAAACGATCTGAATTTAACTGATTTCCAAATGTGGAAATATATTGACGATACTACTGCTGCTGAAGTAATATCAAAAGACAGTCACAGTACTATTCAAACAGGAGTAAACCAGTTGGAAGACTGGACTGTGCAGAATAAACTCCAACTTCAAGTTCCAAAATGTAAAGAACTACTGTTTCAGTTTACGACAGTTAGAAGCCCTTTTCCCAATATTGTCCTAAGTTCTGGAATTCTCGAACTAGTTGAACATGCTAAAGTTTTGGGACTGACAATCAGTAACGACTTGAAATGGTCCAAACACGTCGCCGAAATGATCAAGAAGGTCAACAAACGAAAATACTTCATTATACAGCTTAATCGCGCAAAAGTTCCCGCCAAAGATATAATTAACTTTTACTGCACATGCGTAAGGCTCGAGTACTGCTGCGAAGTTTTCCATTTTGCCTTGCCTACCTATCTTAGTGACGCCATTGAGCAAGTCCAAAGAAGAGTCACCTCAATAATTTTCCCAGGCTTCCGTATCCCGAGCGTTTGCAAAAATGCAACCTTATTCCCCTCAGTGATCGGCGATACAAGGCCTGCTCAAAACTATTCAATCAACTCATCAACAATCCACATCATAAATTATCATCCCTTCTGCCAGAACGTTACTCTGCGAACTACGATTTCAGAAAAACTCGAGAGTTTCATCTTCCAAAGATAAAAACAGATAGATTTTTTAAAACTTTTATACCGGCGTGCATCAAAGAATTTTCTTAGATACTCAATTTTATAAACCTTTCAACATAAATTTTTATAAATCTATTTACAAATACTTTTAGTATATATTTTATTAACTTTATATGAATTAAAATGTTCCTGTAAATTATAGCTCTATAGAACTTAACCTCTTTTGTAAAATAACACGCAATTCAGTCTTTGTAGACTGCAATGTGTTTCTTTTTAATAAACCTATCTATCTATCTCTCAATTTACAGAAAAAGTTTCTTACGAAGTGCAGACCCTATAGCAACCAAAAAATGTCAAATTTTTACTTTGTTCTATCATTGAAATTTTCACAAGGGGAGCTGCATGACTTTTCAGGGGGATGCAAAGATTCTCAGAGGAGGTGCAAAACGATCTCAGAACTGGAATTGGATTCTACACCTTATTTTCTACACTTAAAATATTTTCTAACGATTGGCTTCCAATACATGACCTCTTTCCTAGTGTTTGTGTTTCTTGGAATAGCTCAACAGTCGACATTGCCAATCTAACCCTCTTCTATTCAAAACTGTAACAAATTATTTGCTTCAATATCTGCTATCCTGACTATGTCCATCTACATCGGCATATCTTGATTATATGAACGATAAGAAGATTGCGAAGCTGCATCACAATTTATGTATCAACAATATCGTCAAAAAACTGAGGGAAAACCATACAGTTATGGAGTTAACCTTTGCAAATGGAATTAATATGTGTTATTTTATTAAATACGAAAATCTAACCTCATTAGACAATTATTATGGAAACTATGTTCTACTGTATTTAGTGGTTTTTAAGTTGTTTTCAGACGAGTGTATACCAAGGGTTCGAATACGCGGGTTCGAATCCCAGCCGCGGTCAAGTAGAATTTTCTGCTTGCCCGGTTTGGTATACACACGTCTGAAAACAACTCAAAAACCACTACATAACGTTACACGAGTGGAATCGTAAACGTGGGAAACCACAACATTCACATACAACATTGCCAGACTAACAGCTGGCTTTACGCATTGAAGGACTAACCTCCGAAATGCAACTAACATCATAACTTAACAAGTCGTTCTCAGCTTGACCTTGTAGCTCAGACGGTAGA